CGTATATCAGCCTTACAAAACGATATCTACAGCTTGAAGCAGGGATCTCAGTCCATTAGCGATTACTATACGAAGTACCAGACCATGTGGGAGGAGATGAACACTTTGAGGCCACTCCCGCTGTGCAAATGCGATCCAAGGTGTAGATGCGATCTAATCGACGAGATCAGGAAGGCGCGCGAAGTTGATTAGGTGATTCGCTTCCTTCAAGGTTTAAATGATGATTACAATGCTTTGAAATCGAATGTTCTTGTTTTGGATCCGTTACCGGAAGTCTACCAAATATATGTTATGGCTGAGAAATTAGAGAGGCAGATCAGCTTGACGAAGTTAAAAATAAACAACCTTGAGATCAGCCATGCTAATTCGATCCAAGCTACTGAGATGGTTCAGAATTCCACAGATGATTTGGTTGCTGCGATTAACACTTACAATGGTAAGAAGTACCCAAACAATGGAGGAAGCAAACCTAAATGCACATTTTGTGGGACGATTGGACACACTTGTAACACCCCAGATTTTCAAGATATTTAAAACTTATAAAGTAAAGGTGAAATCTCATTAAATCCCAAAGCATAATACAAGAGTACGGGGTGCTATGCCACACCCGAGCTAGAGAGCTCGGGTGCACAGGCTAAATTCTAAAACCTCAATCAGTATCAATACTAAATCATGGCACGCAGGCCGAAAGGGAAAACTATCTAAGCTATGCCCCAAGCTTCTAGCGCGCTCCAGTGATCTACTCGTCTGTGCCTGAAAGCCAAATATATCTGTTCAGCGAGAGATGCTGGTAACCCACTCCAACGCGTTGAAGTACAATACATATAGATATATATATATATATAGATAGATATACAAAAACCATTTTGAACATGAAGATATATCCTACGATCCCCGGTACAAATCCCATAGTCTCATCCACAAGATACTCATAACAACAACTCATCTATACTTCATCACATAGCACACTTTGTTCGCGCCACAGGACCAATCGCTTGCCGATACATGAGGGTCAGCGCATATAGCTCTGACACGGCCCCGCAGCACCCTGCCCTGTCTCACACTACGGAGGGGTCGATCGCAACCGACCGATGAACCGCAGCTCTATATAATCTTTATATACCTGACCGGTCTTTACCAGCCTGGTTAACAGTTGGGATGGTTCTCAACCCATTCAACTGCCCGTATAGTGGACCTTTGTCCTATATAATATTTATATACCTGACCGGTCTTTACCAGCCTGGTTAACAGTTGGGATGGTTCTCAACCCATTCAACTGCCCGTATAGTGGACCTTAGTCCTATATAATATTTATATACCTGACCGGTCTCTACCAGCCTGGTTAACAGCCGGTATGGTTTTCAGCCCACCCGACTGCCCGTATAGCCCGGTTGATCTCAACCAAATCGGGGTAACATGCACACATAACCCATAGCAAGCACATGCAACCCACATTAACACATTGGGAAGGGGGAGAAAATGTATAACAAAATCTATGTGTGATCCTTCACATTCTAAGAATAGTCCTAAGGGGTTCATACTTCTTTCACCAAGGTCAACGACATACCAATTCAACTAGCATGCAATATATAAGACTCATACGACCTACGAACGGTATCCAAAAATCAAACTAGACATAGGCACGATAGACGGAGTCCGTTGGGACACCACGGGGATCGGGGGAACATCAAACGGGGAAGCCAAAATCCCCAATTGGGGTGCAAACCAGCGGGTAGCCGATGGGTGAGGGTTCACCCGCCGGCGGCAGCCATTTCGGGCAGCGGGTGCCCGGCGGGCAGCTGCCCGCCCGCCGGCTGCCCGCTGCCGGCGTTGCCCAAGAAGGCCGCGGGTAGGTGGCGGGTCCCCTACCCCCACCCACCCCCCACTGAATTTTTTTCATCAAAAACGCCCCGGGAACCTTTGTGGAACCCGAAACCATGCTTAGACACTTTCAAACGCAATTGATAACACACGTAGACAATTAACGGATCAAAGATCGAGAAACATATGGCACATAACCTATCATGCTTTTCTAAACATAATCAACACCCAATCATGTGAATTCCCACCCAATATACCAAGAATAATTTCATACGATACACCCTAGGGTTCTAATCATTTTTAAATCAACAAGGACACAATTCATCTTCTAAAATCAAGATTCGGTAAGAATATCACATAAACATCAAGAGCATCCTACAATCATCACGAACATCATATAATCATCAAGAACGCCATATAATCATCAAGAACACCCTAAGAACCTTTCATCATCAAGATCACCCATGGAATCATCCCATCAATCATCAATAACAATATCACAAATCATCAATACACAATAATATGGGGAAATCCTAAGAGGGGAATCATAGCTATGAAAATAGGTTTTGTTGAGACATGGGTTACCTCTTAGCCTTAATTAATTCCTTGGCTATGAAGGGTCTTTCTTTAAGTCTTCTTCTTTCTTGATTTCTCCTAAGGGGATTCTTGGAACTTCTTGTGTGGAGAGAGATTATTGTGGTGAAAGATCTAGGTGCCTTCTATATCCCTATTTATATATTTAAGACTCCTAATTAGGGCCTGAATGGTATGGGTTTACTAATTCTATTCCTTATAGGACTAAGGACTTGTTTTAGGGATAAGGGTTCATGTTCCATAGTGGACCATATTAATTAATTAAAGAGAATCCTAATCATAATCTGAATAGTAAAAGGCCTACTTCCTTTATTCCTAATAGGCCTAAGACTCTCATTTAGGCAAGGGTCCACGGTTCATGGTGGACCTCATTAATTAATTAAAGGGAGACCTAACCGAATTAAATCATATTTAATTATTATTAACGGGATTAATTAAATAATTAATCCGGGATTGAAGGCCGTAACACGGGGTGTTACAACACTATTGACAAGTGTTACAAAAAGCACGGCTACCCCCCGGGGTGGGTGCCGGGCTTCAAATCCAAAGCCAAGCAGCAAGGAACAACCTCTGTGGTGAATAATGTGACAGACCTAGGTGTCACTGGTGAGCTGTCGTAGGCTCCCAAATTAAAACCTTACAAACGTAGTAGCGGGAGTAAGGATCGATCCCACGAGGAGTAACTAGTTTAAAATATGTGCTCAAATTAAAGAAAGGGGGGTTTGGAATATATCGAGAATAAAGATAAATTAAAAGAGAATTTAAATAAACAAGTAATTTAACTGAACGAATAAAGCAATGAAAATAATATATCGAAAACACTTATAATAAGAAACCTTGGTTAGTAAAGATCCACCACCGGAATTTAACACTGATCATTGATTAGTAAAGTAATTAATATGCAATTTAATATTTGTCGTGAAATTATTTCATTTCCGTTTTCCCCTAGTTATAGGTAACTAAAGCACACGTGGTTTAATTACCCCTAACTACTAAATAACCTAAGACAAGCGCTATAGATTTAATTTAATAGCAGCAATAGGAACTAGGAAAATCGACAAACTAAATAACACAAGCACAAGCGGTTGCATTTAACTTAGGAAAATATTCTACCCGAGTCCAATTATCACTAAGTCGTCAATAATTAACCCAGTTGCTACTGAATATTAGAATAATTTGTAGCACAACATTATCTAATATAGCAAATAATTATATCAAGTAAATAACTAGTAGGCCTCCCTAGCAATTAAATGATACAACTATGCAAATAACTTAGAAGAATATTTAATACCCAAATACATAAAAATTATATAATAAAAATAAATAAATAATCTTACAGCATAATCAATTCCGGGGCTTCAATTCACTAAACCAAGCTAAAGAAATTAGCAATGAATGGACATTGATAACTGCTTTACAGAATAATCGAGAGGGGAAGAATGAACGTTTTACAATAGGAAACTTCTACTATTTATACTACTCTTAAAATATGCTAGAACAATTCTCCGCCATTTATTTTTCCTATTTTTGCGCCGTAGGAATGGAGTCTTCAGACACTGCACGCCCTTTCCTTCTTTGTCGCATTTGAATATGTCTCCACGCCACACCTGTACAAACAAAAGACAAAGAATTAAGGGATTAAGCAATTTGTTTTCATGCATGCTATAAATTTGATTTACTTAATTTATTAAATAAAGCATATACACATACACTAGTACGTACGTAATATATATATATATATATATATATATATATATATATATATTAATATGTATTCTATATATTATATATTATATATAAAAACAATTAATTATTAGATAATATTAAATAACTAATGCAAAAATATTATAAAAATGTACCTAAAATATGAGTGTAAAATATGCCTATCAGTCACAAGTGATCAGTTTCAAAAACTTATGGCAACCATTCAGAATCATATGAGACAACCTTCTAGTTTTCTGGTACTGCAGCATCTATTTCTCTAATTCCCAAGTTCAATGAGGACAACAGAGAAGGCAAGTCATCTATCCCTTATGTTAATTCTTTATCTCTGTGTAACTCAACATGGATTGTAGATTCTAGAGCCACTGATCACATTACATGTTCCCTTGAGACATTTGATGAGTATTATGTGGTTGAAAGGGATGAAGTTAGCCTGCCTACTAGGGAACGAGTTGCTCTCAAACACAAATGAAACATAAGACTTGAAAACAATCTTTGGCTAAAAGATGTTATGCACATACCATCATTCCAATTTAATATATTTTCTGTGAGCAAACTTCTCCAAGATACTTCATATAATCTGGTTTTTTCGTCAGGACAGTGCTTGATTCAGGAACCTCTTGGGATGACGGTTGGTTTAGCTAAACTGGAAAAAGGGTTGTACCTCATGATGAAGCCACCACTGAATTCCATTCTTGATCACAGGAAATTGGTTATGGAATGTAATAAAGTTGATATTTGGCATCAACATTTAGGACATTTTCCTATAAATAAATTGCATTTGCTTAAAGATATACCGAATGACAACGATTCGAACATTTCTGGCAGTAGCAGAATCTCAGAAATAATGGAATATCCATCAAATGGACATAAACAATGCGTTTCTCCACGGTGATCTTGATGAAGAAGTTTACATGGTGCTTCCCCCTGGTTTTCAAGCAAAAAAGCTTAATCAGGTTTGCAAATTAACAAGGTCTCTTTGTGGACTAAAGCAGGCAAGTTGGCAGCGAAACTCAAAATTAACTACTGCTCTGCTAAGCTATGGTTTTAAACAATCAAGTGCTAATCCCTCTCTCTTTACAAGAGGCAATGGTGATCAATTCATTGCCCTCTTGGTCAGTGTTGATGACATATTGGTGGCAAGTGGAATGATGGCTCTTATACAAGAATTGAAGAACTCACCGAATGCAGCTTTTAAAATTAAGGACTTGGGGTCCCTAGGCTATTTTCTCGGCATGGAAGCAAAGATCAGTGACAATGGTTTGAATATTTGCCAAAGGAAATATGCACTGGATATACCCAATGATACAGGGTTTCTTGACTGCAAACCAATAAACACTCCCATGATGCCAGGCTCTCTCTTATCCAGTAATGATGGTACACCTCTGAGTGATCCAAGCAGCTACCAGAGGTTGATAGGAAGATTGGTGTACCTTACAGCCACTAGGCCCGAAATTACGTATGATGTACATCATCTAAGCCAGTTCGTGAGTGCCCCCACGGACAGACACATGGCTGCGTCTCACCGCATACTCTGCTATATAAAATCATCTCCAAGACAGGGCCAATTCTACCCAACATCGAATAGTACCCTCAGCCTCAAAGAGTTTTTTGATTATGATTGGGCATCATGTACTGAAACACGCAAGTCTGTAACGGGATTCTGCATCTTTCTTGGCACCTCTCTTGTTTTATGGCGATCAAAAAACACAAGTAACTGTATCCAAGTCTTCATCCGAGGCAGAATACCGCGCCCTTGCTACGATAGCGTGTGAAATGCAATGGCTAACCAGTTTACTCCAAGATTTGTGTATAAACATAAGCAGCCCTGCAGTGGTTTACGGTGATAGTAAATCAGCTATTGCAATAGTAGAGAATTTCGTCTTTCATGAGAGGACCAAACACATCTTGATCGATTTTCATATAATAAGGGAAAGGGTGGTTCAGGGACTAATCAAGTTGCTCTCGATTGCTTCCATCAACCAAGTTGCTGATGGTTTTACAAAACCTCTAGCCTCTTCCTTGTTCAACGTTTTTGTGTCTAAGATGGGTGTCCAAAGTTTGCACACTCCAGCTTATGGGGGGTATTGGGAGATGAAGGATAGTAGAGGGGTATTTTTGTCTTTCTCCTACAACGGTAGTTATAACCGTCACCAATATAAGAATGGCCGGTTCTCCTCTTGAATAAGTTTTTTGTATCTTTCTTTTTATTCAAAACAGAATGGCACACTCCTTTTCTCTTCAACCATTTCGCTGACTTTACTTCATCGACATTCCTAGAAGAACAATTTAGCAAAGCATACTAAAATGTAAAATGAAATTGAGATTAACAACAATTAACCCTAAACATCTTCTAGATAAAGATTATAAATATTGATTACAGTGCAAAAGCTTTGAAACGCAACCAAGAGACAAACTCTTCATCAGAACAATATCACCAATAAATTAAGCATAATTAATTCATGATTTGCTTTAGAAGCATAACACAGATTCCAAAGATGTGAAATTAAAAGGTAAAAGGTAGGAAAATGAAGAAAGTAAAAGAATTTTATATGCCACTACTGCTGCGCCAAAAGATGAATCACACGCTCAGACCTTGCCGCTACCGCAATCAGCCGTACCGATTGGAATTTCTGCCGCAAACGGAGAGTCTTTGTTCACTTCCACCGGAAATGGTTCGGGCAAAAATTGATGATCGGTGATGGAGATTTTCCTCCTTTTTATACTCCTTCAGCGCAACTTCTTTTTCCGAACTTTCTCCCTGCTATTGGAGACTGCTCGCCAACGACCGAAGAAATTACTCCGCGAGTTGCGATCTCCTTTTTTTTCGCGTGGTGTTGACCGCTTTGTTCAATGATCCGAAGCTATTGGTGTTGGGAATAACACCCAAATAAGTGTGGATTATTTCCATCCACAATAAATTGTGGAGTGAGGTTTAACTCCTACAAATGTGGTCCTCTCCACCACTCCCGTATTTTAGTGGAAATTGAATGGCTAAGAGAGGAGGAGCAGGTAATTCTATAGCTATAAATACCCTGCTCCTCCTGAGCTCTAAACGCTCAATACATTCTTCTCTTCTTCTCTTTTGCAATCCTGAGCTTCGGTGTTAACTGGTCGAAAGCAACCGGTAAGACTGTTACCGTCTCCGGGCAATATTTGCTTTTAAGGTAGTGTCTTGCGCACGTCACCAATTGATTCAGGATTTCTTCTATACTCAGCCTATATAAATAGTAGCCTAGATCTATGACATATTCTGACCAATTTTCCAACAGTTAAAAGCAAATATATGTGCTTAAGTTATCATGTCGACCTTCGGATCTAAACCTCCTCTGACCTCGCCAAGCTCGAACCTCTCACCGGTCTGAACTATCGCCGGTAGGCGATTAAGATGATGATCCACTTCAAGTCTGTCGAACTCTGAGATAAGTATTATTTCTTTAATACATGTGTATGTGTTAATTCTTTTAATAGGTGTTAGAAATATTTTCATGCGTCATCACCACATTATATTTCATCTTTTGGTTCGTTCTCTTCAGTGTGCACAACATGAGGATTGACATGACTAAGAGATAATTAGCTACATGTTTTTCAGCACACAAAATTATTAATATTCTGTATATATTATAACTTAGTCATTATTAAATCTTGTGCTCTTGAATTTAAAGTGTAAGCAGTTATAGTTACGATGATGATATATCACATAATTATCTTTTATAGCATATTGGTCGTGAAGAATTGAAATAGCAAGATCATTATAATACTTAAACATGCTCTCTCACTCTTAACATCCAAGATATAAATGGTTAATCTTAATGATCAATATTTCATGCATATTGTTATGTCTATGTGTAGGCATGTGTTTCTTGGATTTAGAGTTGTTCGAATATGTTATATATGATGTTCTTCACAAAATGAGATCAAAAAGTGATTATGCGTTAGATAACTGGGGAACATAAATTTAAGTGATGCATGATTAATTTATTAGTGGGGGCTATTTGTTCCTTCAAATTGAATATGAGATGCATATATAATTATATATCTTTGTCACATGGTTTTAAAGATTTGAATCATGTACTAAAATTATTTGTATAAAGATATAATAAGTACATATCAAAGTCTTTGGTTGCAATTTGTTTGTAGCATGGAGTTGAAGAGTCATTATTCATGTATACTCTTTGCATAGCTCAGTGTTGCCAATGAGATTTGCCTCCTCATATTTTAATATGGCACATGAAACTTATATGATAATAGACTATCATATGCAAATGATTGTCTTGAGCATTAGTAGTCATATATTATTGGCATTGACCATGTCCCTTAAAATTATCATAATGACATAATTTAGAAGATGGTTTGCCTATATCTTTGCATTCAATTGATTATTATCTTTTGAGAGCATGTTAAACGTGAAATATATATTGTGACAAGCATTTTAGAAATCACCATTCCATATTTTGTATGGTGAGTTCTTTGAATATTATATAGAAAATTAACAGCGGTGTACACAAAGATAAGTGAATCGTTATTATTCACATGTATGAGCTTTATGAATTTGTTGTGTTAGAAGTGATGATTTAACACTACTGCTAAGTGATTAAATCATCAATATAATATAAAGCCTATAAATTGTGTACTTATGCACATGTCAATTTACAACATTATGTGTTATTATTGTGGATATGTTACAAACATTGCACTATTTGATGATAGCATTGAAAAGTCATTGTTCTTGAATACTCTGTCTAGGAAGATGGTTTTTAAGAAAACTTCGGTTTCACCACTCGACCTGGGAGTTTTAAGAAGTAGGGTGTTGATCATGCAGGCTAGTTAGAGCGCCACTTGATCTTCACCTGAAATGAGGTTGACTCTCATATGTTGTTAATCAAAGCCTTGCAATAGAAATTGTTGAAGTACTGCAATAGTAATATTGATCTGCATCCTATGAATGCTTTATATGAGTTTTAATTTTCTCAAGGGAATGGAAAATTGTGCAAGTGGCAACTCTGAAGTCTCATTGTTGAGAGATATTTCCGAATAAATATGAGCTCGAACATATTCCTTGTGTATAACATTAATTTCTTATAAGAATACGATGTGAAATTTGTGATTATGTTGTTCAACTTGATGTAGCATGCAGACAACATTATTTCTATGGCTTACTAACAATGAGCGTTTGTATATATATATTATTTAAACTCTTGGTTGAATCATATTGAAATACCTATAATCTTAACTATAATAAATCTATATGGTTTGGGAAGTAATTAATGTTACAATTAATGCCACAACATCCTTTATTATATAAAAAAAAAAAAAAAAAAAGTACAACATTTGAAAAATAAAATAGCTATATATTATATAATCATATAAAAATGTACTTTTGAAAAATAAAATAGCTATATATTATATAATAATCATATAAAAATGTGTTCAATTAGAGTTTAAATTTACTCATACAAAATTTGAAATTTGCTTTCCAAATGTAATTATGTTAGTTATTATTCGTATTATGAAAATTATAATATAGATGAAATACAATTACGAATAAATCAATGTAATTATGTAAATTCTCTCTATAAGTTTATTTGAATATGCACATAATTAGAGATTTTATTAACCATACAAAATTTTAATTTTAATTTTAATTGTAATTGTAATTTTGTATTCTATAAAAATAATAAATACTTGACCAATGGAAGCTCAAAAATATTATTATATTAAACAATTTAAAATATTTTAGTTTTTCTATTTTTTATTTATATTTATAATAATATAATTTTTCCCGTGCATCGTGCGGGTGAATTACTAGTTCCTAATTAAAGGGTAATTGTGATCAATTGAGATAACCAAGTTTGTTGAAATATATTCAACTGTTGAGCATGTATCAGGCAGAGTGCGAAGCTTCTATAATGCTCCACAAAGCAAATCGGCAAAACTCAGTCTACAAAGGAGCTAATGTTGGGCACCAAAGATCAGTATGGGTAAGAGATCAAATACATTTGACAACAAATATTTGTAAGTGTTGCATTCTGGGGGTAATAAACTCCTTATATTCTCGTCAAAAGTTTCTCTATGGTATTGAGAATAATGATGAAAGAAAATGTTTCATGTTAAACATGATAATATCAAGGGATTATTTACGAGTAAACAAAGTACTCGTCAAAGTGCATGTAAGTTTGGTCAAGAGAATCAACTTACTTGAGGGCTAATTATGAGGATTAGTCGCTAACTCATTAGAAGGACTTAAAGTCCAAGTGGTAATGAACTCGTGGTGGATCCCACTTCTGTGGTCAAACGAAGCCACGAAAAGAGTTACAAAATAGTACACTAGTTGGTCATTCCGACAGTGTGTGTACTTGTGAGGTTGAGCTACAACTCTTAATGAATTCATAACTCTTTGAGAAAGGGTGGTTTTGTTGAGACAAACCTAATGAATTAACCGCATAATGACATTAGTACAAAGTGCTCTTGGTGACTTATACTCAATTGGGATGGTCTATGTTGAGGTAAACCTAAAGAGGTCCCTAACTTGAGTAGAAAAGGGCTAACCGCCTCTTATGAAAGATAATGGGGTTATCCCAAGAAGCTGAGTGGCTAAGAAATATGTTGATAAACGTGGAGTTTGGCGGTGTCTAGCTAACACCTTCACTACATATACATTGAGATTCACAAACTATCGTTTGCATTGCAAAGAACAATGCCTATGATAGAAAGAAAAGACTTACAACTGATTTATGTACTTAACTACTCTATAAGCCTTTAAAGGTGGTCTATA